GTCTTCCCAATCGAATCATCAGACTTCAACATCTAGTTTACTCCATGATCCCTTGCATATACCTGCAGAAACAACAATTAATAACGAGTCCGGAGAGAAAGACACGTGTCAATCACAAAGCAAAGGCAAAGAAGCAGTCTTGCATGATCAAGATCATGGCTCGAGTGGTCGTGGTGGTGGTGCAGCTAAGAAACAAGACCATAACGCTAAGGAGCGTCTAAGGAGGATGAGACTTCATGCCTCTTACCTCACTCTCGGCACTCTTCTCCCTGATCCTTCTTCTTCTTCCAAGGTTTCTTGAATTTTTCATACATGATTATAGAAACCTAGGCATATATGAGACTTGTGATGATTTTTGAACTAGTTTCTTTCTTTTTACTGATGATTAATAGAAGAAATGGTGTGCACCGTCTATAATGGATAGAGTGGTCACTTACATTCCAAATCTACATAAAGAAGTTGAAGAGCTAACACTTAGAAAGAACCAGCTTGTAGAAGCGATCGAGAGGAAAAGGGCCTTGGATTTAGAGCCACAAGCTCCTCACATTCGAGCAATCTCGGTTCTCGAATTGGGAGGATCAGGTGATGAGGTTGTTGTGCAGATATGCATGACAAAGGAAAAAGAAGACGAGTTCTCGAATTTGCTTCATGTAATAGAGATGCAAGGTTTTAGTAATTTAAGTGCTTCTACTTCTCAAGTGTGCCGGGATCAAAGGGTGGTTTGCTACAACTTCCATGTTAAGGTTTGTTTGCTCTTTATCTATGCTTTATTTCTCTTTGATTTTGTGTTTCTTTTTTTTTAGAATCGAGACAATGTGGTAGTAATAGACGAATAAATAGACACAAATGTTTGGTAAATAAGTTAGTTATAGACATGAATATGAACAAAAGATGTTACTTTCTTCTCCAAATAGCACATTTTTAGGGTCCATATCGAGGGAAGATTATGTTTCTTTAAGCTAAGCATTGAAGGGGATTATGTTAAGATTCTATAACTTTAGAAATGAATATATATAGGACTAATTGATGGTTTATAAGTTCATGAACGACCAACGGGATTTTAAGATATTGATTTGGGCTTAGTTCTTATTTATTAACATTCTTAGTTCAAGTAGCAAGAGCGATTGCAATCATCCAAAGCATGGTTAGCTCTATTGGTTCGAGAGTGAATGAACCTGGATTTGAGTGTGGAACTGAGCATAGAAAGGGATGATTTACGTATGTACATGTACTATCAATTGCTGATCCTAGATTAAAGGACCGATAACCCTTAACTTAAGTCATAAACAGTTTTTAGCAATTGGATAGTATGGAGCTAGAGAGTCTACAAGTCTCTGGCAATTTTCTTTGAGAGAACTAACATCTAAAGAACTGAATGGGAAAGTGTAGATGGAGGAGAAGCAGTGTGGAGGTGATTACATCGCAGTGTTGAAGAACAACATCATTTCTTCGCTCTCGTGACAACACAAAGAGCAAATGAAGTTTAAGTGGGATGGAGAGTGCTTTGATGGCTGTTGGCATACCTCTTCTTGCTTATGATGCATTTTTATATACTCAATCCTAAAACCTAACATTTGAAGCCACAATACTCCTTCATCCACAGTACACGAGTGTTGTTGCATCACCTTTGGTTATATCATGTGTAGTTTGGAATTTGAGTCTCATTATGAGACTCTCATAAACCACATGTAGAGGTAGGATTCTTTTTAATCTCCCTATACCGAATTTCTGTTCTCATAGGGATACTAATATTTTTCTGCCTAAACGTAATATAGTAATTTAATTTTGGTGATTTTCTTGATTCAATAATGACGATTTGTGTGATGTGAATGTGGAAAGAACATATTATGAGAGTTTCTTTGAAGTTCTGGTTGATTTCAAGAGAAACAATTTTGAACTCGGTTACGCAGTGCCGATAGTAACTCAGCCTAGCTCTCATCCGAATTAGGCTAACGTTCATAATAAACGGTGGTTAACGTCTCTTAAACAGTTTTAAAGTTGACTAATTTTATATTTAATTTGGTTGTATCAACATATGTTTGTATATTTTGTAACTCATTAAAAAGATTTATTTGGCGCAAAACAAAGAATTGGACACTAAAATGACTATTTTCCCCTGATACTAAATTCTTCAACTTACTCAAAATTATTATAAATTTTCAAAAAACAAATTGGATATTGAAATAAATATGCAACACATAAATACTTTATCAGTTGTAATCAAACTTTTATTTTTTAAAACCGATACTTAGAGCATGTTCATCGGTAAAACTATATATTAGAGTATCTCACAAATAAAGTATTATTATTTTTTAAGTAATTAAATTATATAATTGAAGTAAAAAGCTTAACCAATAAAAAAAAAAGCTCAAATGGCATTTGGAATCTCTCAAAAATCTCTTATGCGTTTTTCAAATTTCTTGTTTGAGAGACTGTATCTCATTCTCTCTCAACTTTTTCTCATATCCAAATATACAACTTATTTCTTCGAAACACATGCAAACGTAAATTTATAATCATCTTTAAAGGATTTTAAAACATTTTTTATTATCAATTTTTAAATCGAGTTAACCCAAATCGGACTTATGAAAACTATATAATAAAGAAATTAAACATATATATGTAGTAAAATAGAAACTAAACAATAAAAACTATTAAAATATTTCAAAAGAAAAACATAAAGACCTTCAAATAGAAGTAAATGCAACATAGAAAAAAAGAAATGATAACTATAATTAACAAAATGATAATCGACAAAAAAACTAAAACATATATATAGACAAACGGTTTTTTCGAAAAGACGCAACTCTTAATGATAATCATAAAGCGGTTACTTAGAAAAATAACTACTTAACGATATTTTTACAAAAAGTCACAACCCAAAAATATTCATTTTCGAAAAGACGCAATTCTTAAAGAAAACCAAAAAGTGATTATTTTCGAAAAGACACAACTTTTAACGAAACAGTTATAATGGAAATATACAACCCTTGACAAAACGGTTACAACGAAAAAGATGCAACTCTTGACAAAACGGTTTCAACGAAAATATGCAATTCTTGCAAATAACTATAAAACGGTTTTTTTTAGAAGACGCAACCTTTCAAAATAACCATAATGCGGTTTTTTTTTTTTAAACATTGACTCTAGCATAAACATATAAATACAAAACGGTTTCCGAGAAGTCACAATTCAAAAATATTCATTTTTTTGGTTTGCTTATTATATATAGATTATTATAAGAACTTTTATTAAAACCTTGCAATGGACCTGCTCTCACTAATTATTATTGTTGTATGTATTCATATAATTTGATGGACATACCTATGCTTCGTCTTCCTTTGCTTTTGAAGATTTTAATGCATTTCTCTGATTGGAAATTGGAAAACATTTCAATATGCGTTCGATAGAAGAGTCTTTCTCATTGCACATTGCACAAAGCGTTACAAGAAATCATCGATCTCAATCGTATGTTGCTTTAGCTCATCCCAATTAGCTTTAAAGAATTGTTTTTGAATGAGAAAGCCTGATCCTCTCTCTTTAGGTCTATATCTGTTCTTGTTCTATGAGCCATTCTTTGTATGTTTTGTCTTCCTTAGTTGGCAAGCATGTTGTGTATATAAGGTATATGACATTGGTTAAAGTTTGTAATGGATCGTTTGGTCCTTCGCAATTTATAAGAAATAGATAGACTCATAGCCAAGAAAAAAGTGTAGAGACGAGTCGTCGAGTCGATGCGTCCTGGCTCCTGGCACCAGCATTTACCATTTTGCCCTTTGGCTGTAATTTCTGCAATTGCAATTTCCTCAACGCCTTTTAATGACATCGACCCCCAAAAAAAAGTCACTGAACCAAAAAATCAAAAAGAAGGAAGAGTCAAACCTCAGAATCTCTCTCC